ATTACCCATTTAAGCCGTCTCCAGCCATTATTACTTCTCATGTATATTATATCTGGCTATGTTTGTCTGCAGGGATGAAAGTTGCTAGGCAATGATACAGCAGAGAACCTAATCATGGCAGAAATGTGTGAAATCACTTAAAAACCATGGTAGAGTAGGATGTTCACAAGTTCTATGGTGTCATGTTTTTCAGTTCATTGTATGTGTGCGTGTGTGTGTGTGCTGTTGCTGTTATAAGTATGCCACATTTTATGAGTTTTATTCCATTTTTCCTTTTTCTGCAATAACTCCTTAAAGGATTCACTTCTGATTACAACTTGCAAAACAAGCTGAACTTCTGACCACTAGAATCTGAGTAGCCCAAGTGCTTTTAATCCTGATCTTTGCTACTTAAAGCTATGTTCTTCAGTAAGCTGATTATCTTCAATTTTGTTAGCCTGCTAAAAGGACCACTGCTATAAGTGCAGAGTAGTTTTCAGAGTTCCTGGTGGTTCCAAAAACTCCAGATATTGTGCCAAAATACATAGAGACCTGCTTACAATGAACCTGTAAGTCAATCAGTTTTACTGTAGATGCATGTGTCCATGAGACCCCCTTACACAAAAAAAATCTAAGAAACACAAATAAATCATCTACCTGTGTATAAAATTAGAACATTGCTTTTTTTTTTACTTGAAAATTCAAAAATTATAACACAAATTTTCTTGTGTAGGACAAGAATGACATTCCTCCTACATTCTCAGTTATTCTTCTCCCTATTCGTCTTCAAGATACTGTTCCACTGGGCACAACTGTTACAACTGTGGTGGCTTCTGATAGAGATGGAACTGTAAGAAAATTGTAAATATAAATATTAGTTTGTAATTACTTTTTTGGTATCCTTTTACAAGTTGATAACTGCAAGAATAATAATGTTTTTTTTACGTGAAATCTCTTTAGAGCAAAATAAAATAACTGCTAAAGGCTATGTCATCCCTCACTAACATTTTTATTTCTATGATTCTAGGAATGATTTATGAAGATGTGAATTTTTAACAGTAAAATATCGCTTATTTAAAATTTTTATCACATTTATTTTGCCATCTTTGAACTTGCTGTATTGTTAATGCATATAATAATAACTTCCAGTCAGAGTAAGCTTTGTACTCAGAGCAAACCTTAAAATAACCTTATCTGTTAGTGTATGTATTTTTCTTGTGTTTCTACTTGTAAAGATTATAATGCATTATTTTATGAGTTGGGTACCCTTGCTGTTTTAGCACTATTTTTGGCTTTAATTCCAATAATATCTCATGAAGTTTGGATATTTTAGGAAATTTAAGTTAGTCCTAAATAAATATTTTAAGCTAACATTCTGAAGCAATCTTAATAATAAAAGTATGATAATAAACAATAAATAAAAATGAAAATTAATGACATTTGATATACTAACTAGTATAGTGAATATTGTTAATAGTATAATTATCTAGCATGTTTAGTATGGCATATACTGATAATGATGTTTCTTTTTCCTTTTTTTTCATCCTTAGCAGATGTATTTACGTATATTGCAGAGAATAATGTTTTATCATTCTCTTTAAATTCTTGATTGTGTGATTAGCAAAGTATTATTTGTTTTAGATTTGATTCAATGCTGTTTTTAATGATTAAATTAACCCTATTGCAATGGGCTCATGTATTTTACATGGCCTTAGAACCACCAAGTAAGTATGGTGATATACATACCATAACTCTGAAAGTACGTAATGTATCTTCATGAAATTTGACAAGCTTTCAATAAGCATTAAAAGTCTTTTGTAAAAAAAAAATTAATGTTTAATTAAATATTTTTACTAAAACTTTGTCCATAATTATATGGAGTCAGTGTATTGACTGCTCTGATTGAAAAGTGATTTTCATTTTAAGATGAAAAATACTTTTCTTGATCTGAAAATTTTCAAATTTCATTTGTGTTATCCCTGAAACCTTCTAAGTAAATATAAATTTGTTTTTTAGAAAACTTTATATTTTATCTGTTATTTTAAATATTATAACTCTATACAGGGTCTGTCAATTTGACTAACCTCGTAACCACTTTTAGAAATTAGGAAAGAATTCTGAATTACCCCCTTTTTTTTTCTTTCTGTAATGACTGCAAATCATTATTTTTCGTTATCTTACCTTATCTAACCTAATAATTTTAAAATTTTTACATTTTACTTACACTTATAATAATAAACATAGAATACACATGAAAAACATGAAATATAGTACTTATCTGGGTCTTCATATTTTCTGCTGTCAACTGTTGATGAAACTTAAGCTTACTTTTTTATACTAATGGTACTACTACAATAAATATTATTTGATTGGATTAGATAATGCACCTGGATTATTATTTCTAATAATTTTAAAATTTTTACATTTTACTTACACTTATAATAATAAACATAGAATACACATGAAAAACATGAAATATAGTACTTATCTGGGTCTTCATATTTTCTGCTGTCAACTGTTGATGAAACTTAAGCATACTTTTTTATACTAATGGTACTACTACAATAAATATTATTTGATTGGATTAGATAATGCACCTGAGAACACAGAATAATAATGTGCAAAAAGCAAACAATGTCTTATAACTATAATGATTTTTCTGGCTTTCCAACTATACACATAAGCTAAGCTTATTGATTTGATTCTTGTGAGAAAGAAGTATAGAACTGGAGGCAAAATAGACAATTCTCTGTACAGAAAGTAATGTAATATAATACATCATTTTGATAGATTAAATGTTTGGCTTTCTATTGGTTATAAGTAATATAAGCTATCAGAGAAAACTATTGGCAATTTGTAAAAGAGAGGATGTAGCAAATGGGTCTGATTTTCTGGTTTATGGCTTTGTAAACAAATAAGATTGAAGGCTATAAAAATTATGCTTTGCCTGAATAATATTTCCAAGACATATTTTTGTTCCCCTCACACTACAACTATTACTCGACTGCCAGGGTTTTCTTCCTTTGCCCATCTAAGCATTCTCACTTTCTCCAGTCTTTCATTCCTCACCTACTTGCCCTTGACAATATCTGTCCACCTATGTCAATACTCCCTCTAACCTGGTACTGTATATAAGCACCTCATTCAGATAATATTATCACTTTTTCTTGACAAAGCATTTACTATTGTTTGTTTGAATGTAATTAAGCACAAAGCTACACAGTGGGCCATCTGTGCTCTGCCCACCACGGGTATCAAAACGTGGATTCTAGCGTTGTAAGTTTGCAGACATACCGCTGTGCCACTGTGGGGCAAGAGTTTACTAATGGGTTTCGTGTACTGTGATCGTTGCCTAGTTGATTTGCATAACAAAATATATATATTTTTATTGTTTGGCAAACTGATGTACAACATCAATTCCTGGATTTCTATTTCTGGCACAGAGTCAAATCAGGTCTCTCCTATTCCAGGGTTGACACATGGACAACAAGTCTTCCCTACACAATGTTTTAGACCTTCTTGCTGTTCAAAGGGCAATGTATCATGGTCTGGGCTTATTAATGGGAAAATTGTCAGGCTTCACTTTGACAATTCCATGGTGGTGTCTTGCTTTTCCCATCAAAGGGCACTTTGTCCAGGGCTCTTTGTTTTCGAACCTTGGATCTTTTTTCTTGGGACCTCTCCTATCATATCACCCTACTAGCTTGTCATGTACCATGGGTGATGACTTTGGTGACAGATCAATTGTCTCAACCCAAACTGATTCTTCCGACTGAATGGATGTTGCATTGTGGGGTTTTTCTGTTGTATTGGTTCTCAATCTGAAACTGATTGGAACACCCAACTACTAGTAATCTGGTCTCCAGTATCTCATCTTCGGGCTTTGGTAATAGATGCATTCTGTCAGGATGGGACAGGATTACACCTCTAGGCCTTCCCACCAAGATGTATGTAGCCCAAGGTACTAGCTATGATTTGTTCCAACCCATTGTTGGGTCCTGTTAACAGCCTGGATTGGTTGCTAAACCCTGGTTTCTGCTTGTGCAGTACCTTCAGGAGTGCCTACCTCTTCCACTTGCTTCCTGTTTGGCCATCTCAGTGGCCTGGTTGAATTGTCCACTGGAGGACATTGTGCGGGCTGGTATATGGACTTCCCCCAATACTTTATATCTCACATCATTTGCATGATTTGGCAGTATCTTCCTCTGAGGGTTTTTGACTACTCCCTATAGCTATCTTAACCACATCTACTAGATTATACAGAGGTGTAAGTACTGTCATTGCTACTCTTGTCTCTTCTTTATCTTTCAGGGTCCTTATCTCATTTTCACAGGATCCCACTATGTAGCAAGTTTTGCCCAGGCAGGTGTGCTTTTATCAAAGAAATTTGGCATTAGCAACCACTAATTCAATATACTTTATCTAGGTTGCAACAGGTTCTGCAGAAATGAGGTGTTCCATAAGACCACCTAGAGGTTGACTGGGTGGTATTACTATACTATGCTGGACCACCACTCATGGACTATCACAAGTAAATTATAAGGAGATCCTGCTTGTCCATGCTGACAATTGAATTGAATAAATTTGGATTGGTTTTAAAACTATAGGGAACTTGGTTCACCTGTTGCACTGTTTCCAGAGTACTGTTCTCCAGGACTTCCCAATGTGCATTACCCCTAGATTCTACTTGGAACTAGAGAGTCCTTACCACACCTGGTTTCCAGTCACTTCAGCGGTTGACAGAGGTTATTCCTCCAGAATGTTCGAGTGAATTCCTCTACTCTTGGAGAGAGGGCAAAGTTGGGGCCCTCCTACCCGTGATCCTGGATGTTTTTTCCCAGATTTTGGAAGGAGAGGCACCTATGCGGGAATTTATTCTAATACAGGTTCACATTTGATGCTTGCCTATCTGGTTGGGTTGACAATGGCCCTTCTTTTTTATCAATATTGATTAAGTGTATTGTTCATGGAAGAAAGGTCATTGTCTCCTCGTAATTCTGGATGTAGAATGGTCCCATCCCAGGTCTTTGGTTGAGCACAGTTTGTTCTATACCCTCCCCATAATTCTGGAATCAAGAAGAATTTATCTTGCCCACTCAGTTAGGGAGTGAAGATGTGTGTTCATAATTCCAAACTGGATGAGTTCTGTTTCCTCAGGCTGACTATGGCATACAGGGTCCTGTCATTCAGAGTTTGGGATGTTGCCTTTTTTAGGTTGAGAAGGTTAGTCCACTTCAATGTCGCTCACCTTCTCATCGTGGTTCTGGTGGCTCGGAATACATCACTCTATGACTACAGGTTGGGATCCACTCACAAGTATATACACAGCGTGGTCACAAGTAAATAGACACCACCTTTTCAGAAAAAATGAAATTTTTCAGTCATATTCACATAAATTGATATCTAGTAGATCTTCCTTTTGCTTCGTGGAGTTCGTTGATCCTTTGGGGCATCGTGAGAATCATCTCGTCAATTTTAAATTGTGGGATTTTTGCCCACTCTTGCTTCAAAACTTGGAGTAGATCGCTCTTTGAGGTTGGTTTTTTTTGGTTGATTCTTGACTTGCCGGTCAAGTATGGCCCAGAGGTTTTCGATGGGGTTCATGTCAGGAGATTGGCTCGGCAAAGGCAACTTCCGGATACCATTTTCTTCCTGCCACTTTTAGGTGTTTCTAGCAGTGTGACACGGTGCTACATCTTCCTGGAACAACGTTGTGTTCTTGTCCATGAAACCCGAGGAATAAAGTGGCAAGAGTCCTTTCTCCAATATTTCGACGTATTTCACAAAATTTATGTTGCCAACGCACTCCACTAAGCTCGATCTCCCACCAACCCAAATAGCTCCCCAAACCATCACTCTGAAACCACCATGCTTCACAGTTGGCTGCAATCTATTGAGCCAAAACTCTTGGTGAGGCATTCTCCAGACCCATATCCTTCCACTGTCAGAAAATTGAGCGAATCTTGATTCGTCTCAGAACAATACAGTCTTCCAAAAGTCCAGAGGCTTGGTCATCCTATCACTTTCCCACTTCTTTCATCTGACTATGTTGGCAGGTCTTAATAAGGGCTTCTGTCTAGCTGCTCTGCAACGATAACCCAATCTGTAGAGAATCCGTTGAACAGATTTCGGGCTCATCCCACCAACTTTGGCCACTTCTTCAGTCGTTAATCTGGGATCCATTTCAATGCTCCTCTTGTCAGCCCTTTTTGTCCTCTCCGATGGACCAGGACAATCCGGATGCTGCTCAGTTGTTTCCTTGCCATGTTTCCTGAACTGCACGATGATTCTGTTGACTGTGGAAAGCGGGATTTCCAAATTCTGCAAAATTTGTCACTGACTTATTCCACCTATTTGCTTGACCAACTATCCTTCCTCTAACAAATCTGACAATTCAAGAGAACCTTGAGTTCTAGGCATGTTGTAGCACAAGATAATTAGTGTGTGGACCTATTTTCATTTATATTAGTACTCTGTA